AACGGGCGTTCAAATATACCAGTAGCACCGCCATGTGTCTTCCTGGCTTGCGTTTCGCTGCTTGTCACTGAAGGCCCCCTGTGCCGCCGTTTGCGCCAGGAGAGGCTAAGCGCCGCGCTCAGCCAGGGAACTTGCGTGGGCAATAAGCTCATGTAAGCTCGCTCGGATGCTGTTCATATGGCCCCCCTAGCCCCACCCTGAGCCAAGGCACAAGACCTGTGAAAATCCCAAGGCGCAGGCCAGATCCCTGCCACAAGAATTGTAGGCTTGTATCCCAAACATATCCGCTGATGGCAGGGCTGCCCCCCGACCTGGAAAACAAACGGCCCTTCCAATGGAAAGACGCCGGAGCCTGGACCCTGGCCTTTTGCAGATCACGGTTCAGGCTTCGGATTTAGGAGTGAGCGTGGCTAGTGCGATAGTGTGAAGGAAGAGCGCTGGTGGTCAAAATCGGTGCCCAACCCGCCTCACCCCCCCCTAAGGCACCAGCCATCATCGTTCGATGACAGGCTGTTGGGGGCCTTGCGGAAGTGCGTCGGCCTCAGGACCTTATGCTTCTACTTGGGGTCTGATTTTTTTCTTGAAGCTTTGGCTGTTTACTAGGTTCTGCGCATGTCTGTGCCTGAAAACTTCGCTCCTGAAAGTGCTGTCGTGGTTTCAATATGTGGTTTACCGCTTTCTCGATCCTTCGTATATACATCACTGCCGTGCCATCGTGTGCAAAGTGTCGAAACCGTCTGCATTTACAGCAGTTTCGCCCCTGTGCCTCCGTGATCTTTTCACATCCGCGACCTGAACACGCATGCCCGAAAGACGAAGCACCCGTGGTCACAGCATCCATGTCGTTACTATACCCAGCACATTCACGACCAGGGCATCCATGCCCGGTTACACCCGACGGATCCAGCGCCAGCCAATTTCGGCTGTTTGTTCTGCACGCGTGCTGTGGTGAAGTGCACATGCCAGCCGCGCAGTTCTTGAGCGGCACGAGTCAGCAGCTCGTTGTGGCGTTCCTGTTGGGAACTCGGGAAGTAAAAGTTTAGATTCTTCAAGATGTTGCTTCTGGAGTTGAGTGTGGGTGAGACGTAGATGGCGTTCCAGGGTCGCAATACAAGCAGCTTAGCCTGATTGCGGGGAGGAGAATAGTAAGAGTAAGAGGTTCAACTGCAAAGGCTGCGCAAGTGGCGACTCGGAGTATTAGGGCTTTGGGGGAGGCTCGCGGTTCAGTTGTGGCGGTTTTAGCACGCTTTAGCCACGCATGACGCGGCTTTAGCATGCTTTACAGTCGGCAGTTAGAGTCAGTGACGCTGCTCTGCTTACGAAGTTCATTGGAAATTCCAATGGGTGCGGAAAGGTATTTTGACCGCCCGCTTTGTGCAGGTTCCAGTCACTCCTGGTATGCCGCCAATGGGACAGCAGCACATGCAGGCCTGCTGCGAATATGTGAAGGGTCCTGTGTGAGTGGGAGACAACCCTCCGAAGAAGCCCCAAGCCGCCCGAAACTTTAAAGGATATCCGGTATACCTGAACCCTAAGCCCCAAAAAGCACAAGCCCTGAAGCTTAAATCCCACCCGCCTTAAGCCGTAGACCCTCACCTGTAGCCCGAAACCCCAAAGCGCAAGCAGCGCAGGAAGTTCCTGACCGAGCGCCTCTTAGGCCCTGCTGCTAGCGGAGAGGCCCGGCTGCTTTTTTCCTTCTTGGTTCGGGGCTGAGGGTTTAGGGCTAAAACCCTACCAAGCCCTGAAGCCCAAAATGAATCCAGAACGACCTAGAATTCATATGGGAGTTGCTTTGGGGTGGCCGCGGAGGAATCGAGGATTCACGTCTTGAAAGGGTAGAGCCCAAGAGACCTAAGCTTGAAGGGCTTCATGCTTTGAGATTTTGGACTTCACGGCAGAGGCCAGACCCCAAGCCCTGTAAACAACATAAATTCTAAGGATGAAGGGAGAGGACCCATTTGTTTTTGCCGTTTGTTTGTTGTTTGGCCCTTTTTTTCTGGTAGAAAACAAAGGAAAACCAGAGAGAAACCTCTATTTTCCTCTCTAACCCTAAACCCTAAACCCTAAACCCTATCCCGAAACTAAACAACCCTAAACAACCCTAAACCACCCTAAACCATAAACCCTAAACCTTAACGTCCCCCCCCCCAAAAAAAGCCAAAAAAATCAATGAAAGTGCCAAAAAAAGTGTACCCATGAGGGGAGGTGGCAGGATGTAAGTGGGCTGCCGGGAGATGTGTGCAAGTTACAGTACAAAGGCCCTTTCACAGTGACAAGGGTGTTGTTCGGGGTTTTAGGGTTCAGCGTTCCTGAATTTCAGGAGACCACTCTCCCTTCGGCAGGATTAGTGTTCGATCGGCAACATCTGAGAGCAGCGAAGCTGAGATGCAGACAAGTCGTGCAGACGTTGCGGACAGTGGGGTCCAGGGTTTCAGGTTGAGCCCTGAACACCCTAAAAACTAATCACTGAACCCCAAAGCCTTTTTTAAGACCCTCTAAACCCCATAAACCCTGTAAAGCCCCAACATCCCTCAGCCGTAACAGTGGCGAGCGAGCATCTCTCTTAATGTTGAGGGCTTTTATAGGGCTGAGAATCTTTAGAACTGCATGTGATGCGGGGGAAGGTGGTTTCAGTAGCGTGTGGGTTTGGACCCCGCCCGTCACAGAATTGCACGAGAAGCAGGGTAGGGCCACCGGCAGGGTCACCTAAGTTCGGGCAGAAGGCTTGTGTACCTGATAAATCCTGATAAGTGCCTAAAGCCTGGGCTCAGGGTTAAGAAGGGCTCACGGGTTGCACACCTGCGAAACATACCCCCGAAAGTGCAGGTAAAGTAGCTACTGATGCCGCGAACACACCCCTAGGCCCCTAAACATACCCCCGAAACATACCCCGAAACATCCACCCAAAACATATCCCGTGAGTCTTTGGTCCTTGTGTTCTTCCTGGCAGAGTCGTTGCAAGTTCTATACATGGAAGCAAGCGTAGGCCTAGGCCCCAAATCCTGAACCCTGGACCTTCAAACTTTAGGCCTCATGCCACTCCGCACACGGCAGAATCCGAAGCCCAGACGCCATTGGGAGCAGGGAGCCCGGGTCGCTTTCAGGAGTGCCTGAAAAACGATTCTGCTTGCTTTGTTGTCCTCCCAAGAAAACCTTGGGAGCACCTCAGCAGCCTTCTGGTTTGGTGAAATTTGGTGAAATGCGGGCCTTTATAGGCTTCAGGGCTCTGGGACCAAAGTGGGGTTTCCGGGGCTGTAGCGAATGTTTCACGAGTTTTGTTTTGCTGGCTGCTTGTGGCTTGCAGCGCCTAAGGTTGCAAGAGATTAGTTTTCGGGTGTTAGGGCTTCCACCTCAAGGCCACGGATTCCCAGAGTCCTTCATCCAATATCCAGCTCATGTCTGAAGCAGCGTGCGTCCGCGACGAGCTTTGCGGGCGCGGTGTTGCCGCTTTCGTTTCACCTGGAAAGAGATCGCCTCGTGGCCGCTGTGACCTCATTGATGATCTTTGCCCGTGGCTGCCAAAATCAGCCTCTGCCCATGCTTGCTGATCGAGGTAGCCTTTCCAAGCCCCTATTGTGATAAGAAATATCCCTTCTAAAGGAATTTTTTAGGGCTTGGGGTTCGGGCTTTCCTGAAAACCACCGCAACCTTTAGCCAAGTCTCTGCAGAGGAGTTGCGCTTTTGAGTCCCTGCTTCTGAGAAGCGTGAATCCCCGCAAAACATCTTGAAAGTGAGCCTTTTTATCAAGGTTCTTAGGGCCGCAGAGTGTAGGGCTTTAGGATTTAGGGGTTTAGGGTTTAGGGTTTAGGGCTTAGGGTTTAGGGTTTAGGGTTTAGGGTTTAGGGTTTAGACCCCAAACCCTAAACCCGAAACCCTTAGCCCCCATATCTGCCTAAGCGCGAGAAGCCTTGGGTGCCCGGTAGTATGCTTATCCGCCTGATGAAACCCCAATGGAAGCGCACCTTTCTTCCGAAGCTACTGGAGAAATCTAGAAGCCCTAGACTTGGGATGTTCGCCCTGATACGAAGAGTCCTTCATAGGGACTTTCATCGGGGATACTGTAATCCCTATTAAGGACTGTTCGTATAAGGGGGAATATCCCAACCCTAAACCCTGTAAACCTCCAAAACCGGCTCCTAGACAATGAAGCCTTTGACTGGTCACCTAGATCCCTTTCCTTCCGGAGATGGTCTAATATACTCAGCACCCTAAGCCCTCCAAACCCTAAACCCGAAACCCTAAACCCTAAACCCTCAACCCTAAACCCTCAACCCTAAACCCTAAACCCTAAACCCTAAACCCTAAACCCTAAACCCTAAACCCTAAACCCTAAACCCTAAACCCTAAACCCTAAACCCTAAACCCTAAACCCTGCGGGCTTCGCGCAGACTGCGGCTTCCAGGGTCCCAAAGATTCCCGCATGCCTGCTCGGCTCGGAAGCTACGGGACCACAAGCCGTCCTGAGAAGACTTTGTGGTGCTTTACTGTAACTTTAGATCCTTAGCCTTTTTGGGCTTATTGGGTTTCTTAATAAAGGCCACTAAAAATTTAATTTTTAGCCACCCTGTTAAGTGCAGCCAAGAAGAGGTCGTAGCCATCGTTGAAACCCCACAAGCCCTGAGCCCGACGAGCCAGAAACCATGTCTTCCAGGGCCCAAGCACCAAACTAGGGTTTAGGGCTCAGGAATCAGGGTTTAGGGTTTAGGGTTTAAGGCTGCAAGTTCCAGTCTCCCGAAACTCCTCTAAAACCCCTCGGACCCAACACTCGACGGAAGACCCGCCGCAGAGCCAAGGTCTGGGAGCGTTCTAGCTGAGGTGACGGTGGGCCTAGAGAAGGGTTTAAGGTTTAGGGTTTAGGGTTTAGGGGTTTAGGGTTTAGGGTTTAGGGTTCTAAGCTCAAAGTCTTAACACCCTAGCTGCAACGCCAGGTAAGGCATAAGTCCAGCGCACCCTGGCGCAAGCAGCACACGTAGATACACCAGGGAGACACGTCCGTCACGATGATGTGCCCCCCCCCCAATCGTTTTGAGGGTTTTACAGGTTCTTCCTTTGGGCTCTTAAAACCTAAACCCTAACCCTAAACCCCAGCTTGGGAGTTTGCTGCTTCAGGGAGGAGAGGATTCCAAGTCACCCTTACACCCGCTTTAAGGGGTTTAAAGGTTTAGCGTTGAGGGCTGAGGGTTGAGGGTTTGATTTGCCCCAAACCCTAGACCCTAAACCCTAAGCCCTAAGCCCTAAACCCAAAAGCAGGTGTACCCGCAGTACCCGTCATATACTCCAAGAATCACCATAATTTGTGAAAAAAGGAAACCTCAGAGCCCTGTGGTTTAGGGTTTAGGGTTTAGGGTTTAGGGATTAGGGTTTAGGGTTTAGGGTTTAGGGTTGCCCTGTGCCCTAGTTTTGGGAGACCTCCATGTCAATCCCTCAGAGCACCAGGTGTCGGGCTCACAAGCTCCGGACAGTTCGCCCAAGACTCAACGCCCCAGACTTTAGGATTTGTAGGGTTCAGGGTTTCGGGGCAATCCGGAACGGGGAGCTGTACTGAGAGGTTGTAAGTTAGGGGGTGCCGATAGCATAGAAAGAATTCCTGGAAGAAGAGGTCTAAGGGGAGGTTCTTGCTAAGGAGCGTAAATCAACCTATCAGAATAACTGTTTTATATCTCTATGCATAATATGAGAATATGAGATATGTATATATGTGTATATATATACATCATTTTTAATATATACACATATATACATATATAGCCTTATCATGGTAACATAATAGTTCCTGGAGGCAAGAGGCCAGGATCTGCCTTGGAAGGTACACGGCACAAACGCCCGCCGTGATCCTGCCCACCGGCGGATCCTTCACCGCGAGCCCGGCGAACGCGCTGCGGCCTCGGCACCGGCTTTAAGCCGGCAGCTGGGAAATTTAGGGTTTAGGGTTTAGGGTTGAGGGTTTAGGGTTTAGGGTTTAGGGTTATTGCTGAAGAAGAGGAGAATACTCATCGCTTTTACCAGGGTTCCAAGCACAGCATAGGTTGGTTTGTGGGAAGTTCGAGCTTGGGCCAAAAGCCCAAAAACTTCACGTTTTGGGCAACTGTTGTCCAGAGTTTCGAGGGCAAAGGGTTGGACGTAAGGTATGGGGGTTGAGTTATAGGATGTAGCGTGCTCGGTTGTAGCTTAAGATGCCACACCTACTTGCCCAAAGACTCTGTTGCTCCCAGTGAACTTCGAGTTTGCCTCGAGCCGGAAAACGTCTGCTCAAGTTACGGGGTAGAATGGTAGAATTCAGGTACAGGGTAATATAGGGGTCGGAATAAATACTAATAGTATTCCCGTATGGTCCGTGCACAAATATACGATAATAACTCCAAAACCCTATTCTAATTATTAAGGCCCTATAGTATGTTCTTACGACATTGACGATCGAGCTGATCGAGCACGTGGTCGTCATATCGGAGAGTCTCAAAAGGCTGGCGCTACCAGCACAAGGGGGTGCATACAGCTTTTTGTCCCAATGCGTCGCGAGCTTCAGATCAGCCGCAACGGGCTGTTTGTCACACGCTGGGGGTCGGCGCACTATGCCAGGATGGTCCTGGGTTCCATTTCTGGAGTGCTGCTCCTGGCGCTTGGAGGCTACGGGCTTGCTAAGGGAGACCTCTTTCTCATGGTGATGCGTCTTGGCAGATCTAGGGGGCTTCTTCAAGCTTCCCATCTGACCGACGATAGTATGATAGAGCCTTGCATGTTCCGGAAAATGGAACGGGGCTTCCCAAAACTAGGGGTGCTCTCGTGCGGGCTGTTGTGAGAAGGATGATGGACATGGGGTAAGATTGGGGCGTGGGTCTATTCTGACAATAAGCAGGTTCTGCCCCATGGCATTTGCTGGAGGCTTTTGCCTGGCCTTCGCCTCCGGAGCCGGCACCCCCACCAGCGTCATCTTGGCGAAGCGCGATGAGGACTGGCATTCTCGGCCGAGCTTTCAGGATAAGTCTCAGGTCTTTTTGTAGCTGTGCTTCGGGGCCTCAAGGGTGCAGAGGGGGGGACCTGTTTGTTGCATCTTCCTGAAAAAGTGGCACTTATAGGTACCTCGAGCTACACTGCCGGGGGCGCATGCCAAGAAGCTTGCCCGTGGAAGCTATTGTGGGTGTTCATGACGTGGCCCTCTCCTGGATCAGCATCCTCTCCAGCGGCTGCCGTGCTGTCATTTCGAACGCAAGCTCTCTGTCCGCAACTCCGACCTGCGGCTGCGCCACCGGCAGGCTGAGTTGGGAGCTGACCTTTGCCGGGGAAATCTGGCTGTTTACGCTCCAAGACCACCTGGGATTCTTGGAGGAACTCGGAGGCGTCTGCGAGCGGCTCCAAGCCAACCTGCAACTCCTCCTGAGCCAAAGGCGCCAGGAGCAAGCGTAGCGAGGCAAAGGAGAAAATCCACTCGACGTCCTTGAGATCAACCTCCCTACAAACATGAACTCCCATAAAGATCTTGTTGAAGGAGGGGGATATCGAATACCTGAAACAGATGGCGCACCGCGAGAAACCCTCAACGGCCTACACATGCCGAACCCTTGAGCCCTGGCGGCCCAGAGCCCTGAAAACCACAAGCCGGTGACCCTGAGCTTCAGCCCATGTAACTGGATATTTTTGAGTAGTTGTTGGTTGACTGTAACCGTAAACAGAGTTCCAAGTGGGCTCCAAGATTATGTTAACGAAAGGTCCAGGAAGCTTTGTTGGAGAGTGGCGAAAGTAAATGCCAGCTGCTCGTTTGCCCGGCGTTTCTTGTTCCGCAGATAGCAGGAGGGCCGAGTAGGTAAGCCCAGCTGTAATCGTTCTGTATACCGTACCTTAAAACCCAAAGTATCAAGCCAGGAAGACTATTTTGTGCAGGCCCTTGGGATACTTTGCATGTTCCCTTATTGGGCTTAAGAGGACAAGATTTGGAGTACTTCTCGCCAACCTAGCATTGAACAGTCAACACATCCCCAGCTCCCAAACCTAAGGTACTATCACCCAGGCGCGGTGTCTACTATGCGCCTTCGATGCAACCGAGAGCGAATCTCACGCAGATGCACTTCCCCCACCGGCCCCCCCCCCCCCCCCCCCCCCACTATGTTGTTTGTGAAGAGTCTTTTTGCGAAAGGATGCTAGCAGGTGGATGTGGCATTCTAGGGAGACTTGTGGCAATCAAGGTGCCAAGTCTGTAGGAGGCACTCCAAACCCTAAACCCGAAACTAAACCCTAAACCCGAAGCCCTAAACCCTAAACCCTAAACCCTAAACCCTAAACCCTAAACCCTAAACCCTAAACCCTAAACCCTAAACCCTAAACCCTAAACCCTAAACCCTAAACCCTAAACCCTAAACCCTAAACCCTAAACCCTAAACCCTAAACCCTAAACCCTAAACGAAACAACGTGGCCCCAAAAAGCCAGAGTCCATGGGATGCCCGGCTTCCCTCGAAGCTTAAACCCTAAACCCATATGGAAGCTTACAAAAATCGGAGACCCCCGGTTTTAGGGTTTTGGGGTTTAGGGTTTTAGGGTTTTGGGGTTTAGGGTTTAGGGTATTGGGTTTAGGGTTTAGGGTTTAGGGTTTAGGGTTTAGGGTTTAGGGTTTAGGGTTTAGGGTTTAGGGTTTAGGGTTTAGGGTTTAGGGTTTAGGGTTTAGGGCTTAGGGTTTAGGGTTTAGGGTTTAGGGTTTAGGTTCCCAAATAGTAGGATCCCCTTATCATCAGGACCCCCAATAAGTGGAGAGCCCTTCCTGCCCTCTAGAACCCTCTGCACCGTGACTTTAGACTTCCTACTGCAAGGGTGCTTGTCTGGACCAGAGCCCATGTGAAACAGGGTTGATGTTGCTGTGATTGGTGGGTGTATATAGGGTTCATTACAATACTTGTGAGTGTATACAGCTGGCTGTCCTTTTGGGGATACCAGGAATCTCAACCCTACACTGCACGAGAGCTAAGGACCTCGCCGCTGTACTCACAGCCGCCTGGCACTTGGCCTAGGGCTTTGGGTTGCCTAAAAAGACTTGAGCTTGGGATGTTCCCCTCCCTATTAAGGTTAGTATAAGGGGGAACAGCCAAACCTTCAACCCTTGAAGCCATCATTTTCATCCCAGAAGCCTCCGAACATCATTTGGCGGATCCCCGAAAGTAGGGTCACCTATTCAGTGCCTTAGATCAAAGGACCCTGCCATTCAGGCTGTCCAGAAAGTTCTTTTGAGGCCTGGCCCTTTAACTCACCCTAGATGTCCCGTAAACCCGAAACACTAGGCTTCAGGGTTGATGCCGTGCCTTAGTGGCATTGCCAATGTCATCCCGTTGCAGTCCTGGAGTATTTCCCCTAAACCCTAGACCCTAAACATCCCTAAACCCTAAATTGGCTACTTCTTCAGCTCTCTCAGGAGCCATCTGAGTGAGTCCCTGACGCCGTTTGCAACCCCTTTCCCCTCCCCCGCCGTTGCGAGCTTTCTGGATTTTGGGTCCAAAATTTAGGGCGGACCGGGATAGTTGTTTGGTCTTGCTTGGTTTTAGACTGTCATGTTGAAAAGGAAACGAGCGCCTTCCGTCCACCCTGTTGATGATCTGCTAAGCCGCCCCAATTCCTCCACACTACCTGCTAGGTCCTAGGAGGCCTAGAACCCTAAACCCGAATATACCTCAAACATAAAAAAATTAAGGTCTATTCAATACCCTAGGTCCTAGGAGGCCTAGAACCCTAAAACCTTAAACCCGAAGACCCGAAAGCCATGACACCCTGGCACACCATGCTAGAACACCCCTGGAAAGCCGAAGCCCTCAGCAGGTACATGCAGCCGTGCGCACCTCAGGGTGCCCAGGGTTTAGGGTTTAGGGTTTAGGGTTTAAGGTTTAGGGTTTGGGGTTTAGGGTTTAGGGTTTAGGGCCCACCCTCCATTCAGGGCTTCGGATTCCGGGTTAAAGGATATCCTCCAAGTAGCCTGGGGCAGTCGGTAGGGCCGCATACATGTCTTGGTCTGCCTGCGCAAGAAAGAACGGTGCCAAACCTGAGTCCTAAGCACCCACCTAGGATTAGGAGGCTTAGGGCTTAGGGCTTAGGGCTTCGGGCTCTTCGGGCTGAGAGGGCTTAGGGCTTAGGGCCACCAGGCAGCAGGGTTCAGGCCCCACGTCAATTTCGAGTTTTGGACTTGGCTGTTACCATGTCGCGCTTGGCCCTTTTCAGCCCTCTGAGCGGTTTGTAAAGGGTTTGTTTGGGGTTTACCCACTTTTGAGCTTTACTTGAGTGCTTTGGAGGGCCGAGAGCGTCGCAAGGAGCCCCGAGCCCCTGCAGGAAGGCAACGAAAAGTCCCCGACTACCTTGAACAAGCTGGGCGAGTGCCTTAAAAGCGATCTGAAGAGGAGAACGATGCGATCATCGACAGGAGTAATGCAACGAGCCACCACAGGTGAGCTCCTTTTAAGAACCCCTCGATGCGTGCAACAAAAAGAAGTACCCGAAGACCCGACAGCCGGAACAGAGCAGTTCGGTGGGACTTCTGCATGACTGCCTGTTTGGCCCTCATTGGTGCAGGGTCTGCAACCCAAAACCCTAAACTTAAAGCCCCCCACTCCAGGGTTTAAGGGTTCAGGGAAGCAGCAGACTCTGCAAGACCTCCAAGCACGCCCTGGTCCTCAACCTTTTCGGCTTAAGGAGGGTTTTTAAGGCCCCCCCCCCCCCGCCCCAAAAAGAAATATGCTGAAAGCCCTCAAAAAAAAATCCCGAAGAGACCCTCACCCATTGGATCCCAGAGCCCAGGTATGCTCCGGTGCCGGCACCAATTCTACCGCAGCCAACAGGGTATATGCCTGGGTCTCAGATGCCTTGGTCGGGGTTCTGACAGTTTCTGAAACCCTAAACCCTAAACCCTGAACCCCTGGTTGCTTGTGTGTTCGGGGCGCGTCTCTCCCTTGCAAGATGCGGTACACTCCTTCACGTAAACCTGGACGTGCTGCCTGTGTCTGGCGGCCTCAAGGGAAGCTCCCGACTTGCACGTGTTTAGGGTTTAGGGTTTAGGGTTTAGGGTTTAGGGTTTCGGGTTTAGGGTTTAGGGTTTCGGGTTTAGGGTTTCGGGTTTAGGCCTTAGGGCTTAGGGTTTTAAGTTTTATGGGCTTACGGTTTTACAGGCCTCCAGAGCTCCAAGCCTTTTCTGGATCGGGATGTGTTCTATATCTTCCTGTATTGGCTTAAGAGGATCATGTTTAGGATTATGTTTCAGAGTGTTTAGTTTACAGGGCCCACCTAGTTTCTGAAGCCCTAAACCCTACCTCAGGGCCCAAGGCCCTAAGCCCCCAGAAAGGCTGGGGAGCGGCGGCAAGGTGTTTTTGGACCATCAGGTTCAGGCACTCGACACTCCCATAACGGCTCTGCCTTAAGAACTTGGTTGGAGTCTAGGGTTTAGGGCTTAGGGCTTAGGGTTTAGGGTTTAGGTGTAGGGTTTAGGGTTTAGGGTTTAGGATTTAGGGTGACGTTCTTGTTAAGGAGGCTAGACTCGGTTGCTGTAATAGGGGATATACGACTTGTAATAGGGCGTGTTGGGGAGAGGCTGGCGCTTTACGATTGCTACTTGATGAAGATTGAGGGGAAGACAAGGTTGTTGCAAAGGTACCCGTAATCCCTAAACCCTAAACCCCACACCCTAAAAGGTATAGAAGAGTTACAGCTAGCCATCCTTACGCTCGGTACCTGATTCTCCTTCCCGACCAGGTACAGCTACGACCTAACGCCTCAAGCTGGTGCGATGTCGCCCCTCGTCACGCAGACTCTACCGACGTCAGCCCTCAGCCTTGTTAGGAACCCTGTAGAGGGTAGGGCTTGCCCAGAATTTCAAGCGGCTTGGTGCCGACAGCTCGTGTAGGGCTAGGATTTCGGTTTTAGAGTGCTGGGTCTTCCGCAGCAGCGTGAGTCTCAACATTCCCTTTGTCTTTGATGGCCAAGCGAGAACATGCAATCTGCTGAGAAGCGTGGGATGCGAAAGCCAGCTTTTGGTTCCTGCACAACCTCGAACACCGGGCCCACAGGACGGTTTTGAGGCTCAGGCTGCAGGGCGCAAAGATTTGGGGTTGAGAGAGCTGTATGTGGCACCTTCGTAGTTCCCTTAGCCCGAAGCCCGGAAGCCGCAAGCCCGAAACCCACCTTCAAACTCACAACCTTAGGGTTTAGGGTTTAGGGTTGGGGGTTTAGGGTTGGGGGTTTGGGGTTTGGGGGTTGGGGTTTAGGGTTTATTGTTGAGGTACGTGCCCTCTGGGTTGCCATCTGCCACGAGCTCCTTCTCGACGGGAACTCACGGGTGCTCTCCAGCGTTTTTTTGGGGCTTCAGAGGGGGTTTAGGAGGGGGGGGGACTCTAAAGCATCCCTTGCTTCCGTGGACTTTTGTACTTCCAGGGATGGGGGCTTCAAGGTTATGGGGTCGTGTCGTAGGGCTTGAGCGTGTGCCGTGAATTTGGTCTTCGCACCCACCTTTTCAGAATCATCTTGGGTAACCAAATATCGTCCTTATCATCTTTCTACGTAGCACCTGTGGCCTCAACCCTAAAGCCTAGCCCGATTAGGTTCAGGGTTTCCAGAGTTTAGGGTTTAGGGTTTAGGGTTTAGGGTTTAGGGTTTAGGGTTTGTATGCTTCAGGGCCACTTCGGTCCTTGGATGTCGTGCTCACTGCTCCAAGCTTAACCGGCGTGGGCTTGCGGCTTCAGCTCACAAACCCTCGAGGCCCTCGAGCCCTACGCCGTGATATCGGGGCCTTTAGAGCATAATTATTATAAGAGACCATAAGGGAATCATATCAGCAATGATTCCGACCCCTAAACCCTAAACCCTAAACCCTATATTAGACCCTTTGAGAAGACCTGACCGAGGGTCAGCCAGCCGGTGAGGGCGAGCTCCTTCCACACGTCCGCCTCCTGGGCAGACCTGTGCAGACCCTTCTGCGGGTTTAGGGTTTAGGGTTTAGGGTTTAGGGTTTAGGGTTTAGGGTTTAGGGTTTAGGGTTTAGGGTTTAGGGTTTAGGGTTTAGGGTTTAGGGTTTAGGGTTTAGGGTTTAGGGTTTAGGTTTAGGGTTTAGGGTTTTGGGTTTTGGGTTTTGGGTTTTGGGTTTAGGGGCACCACCCCCCCCCCCCAGAAGGCCTCCGTCAAGTTTCAGTAGGCAGTAAACCCTAAACTGAGGCAATCTCGAAGAAGTCCTAATTCATGTGCCAAGGAACAGCCAAAATGACAGCTGTGTGGCCCAGCGTTCCGAGTTGAGTAGAATATAAACCCCCTAAGAGGGCGTTCCTGGTTAGTTCGAGTTGGGGGGCAGTTGTTCCTTCTAGGCACCCCCCCGAGCCTGCGTTGGTTCTGTATCTAATAAATACAACCCTTCTGCGAAGTTGGGTTTTGGTGCATGTATTAGCTCTAGAATTACCACAGTTATCCATGTAGCAGTGACCATCAAATAAATTATAACTGCTTTAATGAGCCATTCGCAGTTTCGCCGTGTAGAAGCTTATACTGAGACATGCATGGCTTAATCTTTGAGACAAGCATATGACTACTGGCAGGATCAACCAGCTAAGTTTAAGCCTCGTAAAGAGACTAAAACCCCAAACCCCGAGAATCCGCAAGAGGCCCAGGGCTCATCAAACCGTGGAAACTGGGCATTCACTACCATAGGGACAGGGCTCTTTGGGGGTTTCATACGATTCTTCAGGGCTTCTGGAGGGGCCTACAAGCATCCTCAAGGCTTTCAAGCTTCATCAACCGGCTCTTTCCACCAGAATTCCCCCTAAACCCCTAAACCCTAAACCCTAAACCCTAAACCCTAAACCCTAAACCCTAAACCCTAAACCCTAAACCCTAAACCCTAAACCCTAAACCCTAAACCCCCCTCCTAATCCCGAAGCCCGCAAACCTCAAGAAGTCTCCCGAGCCCTTGTGCGCACCCGCAATGTTTGTAATCCCCGAACCTCCCGACTCTAGCCATCCCTGAGCCGAAGCCCTATACGAACCCACTCTAAGCCCCAATATAGGGGCCTGAATAATTAGAATAGGATTTTGGGAGTTACTATAGTATAATTACAGAGGGACCATCCGGGAATATGAGTAGTAGTTGTGGTTGTGGTAGTAGTAGTAGTAGTAGTAGTAGTAGTAGTAGTAGTAGTAGTAGTAGTAGTAGTAGTAGTAGTAGTAGTAGTAGTAGCAGTAGCAGTAGCAGCAGCAGCAGTAGTAGTAGCAGTAGTAGTAACTATTCCAACCCCCTATATTAAGCATCCTCATTCTCCCAGGTACCCGGCCTCCGTGGGCCCCGTGGCGGCCACCACTTCGCTGAACGGTGGCAGCCGCAGTGCGTTTGGGGGGGTTTAGGGTTTAGGGTTGAGGGTTGAGGGTTTAGGGTTTAGGGTTTAGGGTTTAGGGCTTGGAGTTGTACAGGGCTCGGTCGTATCCCAGAGCAGGTTAGTTCTCTCATTCTCCGTCTTGGTGATGCTCGTAAATATTCAAAAAAGGGAGCCATGTTTTCATACAGGGCCCGAAGGGGAAGGGGAAGAATGCGTTGCATTTGCGCACGAACCTCTAAGCCCTAAACCCTAAACCCTAAGTGTTAAAAACCCGGAAGTAAAGTTCCCAGCCCCCGAAACCCCTAGGAAGCCCAGAAGCAAGTCCTGAAAAGGCTCCTTTGTGGCGCCTCCCGGGCCGGCAGCCACCGGGCCCCTCGGCGTGGGTTTAGGGGGTTTAGGGTTTGGGGTTGAGGGTTTAAGGAATCTTGGAGGGTGTTAGGTGAACACAGGAGAGGGCATCGAGTTGCCGCAGCTTTGAGGGTTTAGTCTGTGAGGGGTGAACTGGGACCACCAGCGGGCTCGGCCAACTCTGAACACTGACTGCCTTCACAACCCCTTTGGTTCATCGGGCATTTTCCTCATCATGACTCAAGGACATCTCATGTAGGGTAACACCTTCACAATGCCTTCCAAGAACTGGCAGGATGAATCGTCAAACCCGCGACCCTCAACTGGAAACCTTAAAGTTACTTTAAAGCCTCCACCGCAAGCCGAGCCGGCTGAGGTCCTATGTGCCCCCCGTGGTGGATGCGGGAACTGGCTCGTTTGTTCCACCTGTGGCAACGAGCTCCAGCCGGGCGCACAGTCTTCCTTGGGCCTTCAGAAAGCCCCGTCGGTACCTCCCGTCTTGTGTTTCCGGGTTCCTTTAAACAAGCAACTACTCGACAGCAAAAAAAACGGTATCGATCTTTGCTATGACAGAGTGGGCTTTGGGCTGTAGGGTTCGGTGAGTTCTGCGTCCTTGATCAAGCCAGGAGGCTGTAGGGGGCAGATGTGTTTCCCTGTTTGGGGGCCGAGGCTGATGGAGCAATCTGGGGTTTCGTGTGCAGGGTCTTAAGGGGGGGGTGTTGGGTCTACCAAACGGCTCGGGACATCTGGGGCTCTCCAGCTATTCTTTTCCCAAAGGTTTGAAAGCGCAAGCCGCTTGCCGGGTTGAGCTTCGGGTGTGGGAATTCTGCTCTAAGGCATGATATATATATATATATATATATATACATGCATATATATATATATATATGTATACATATATACATGTACATATACGTATACATCTCTCTCTCCTCCCATTCATTTGTAATTTGCTTATGTGTTTCATCTGCATTCTTGTTTATACTCATACGTATACTTGTATTGTATCTGGGCATATACATGTTTGTTTCGCAATCGCCGAACTAAACCTATACCCGAACCATCGGTAGCAAGCTGAAGTTTTAGACTGCACAGCAACTGAATGTTTTGCCGATATCCTTAGGCAAACCGCATGCCGCAGCTCCCCTTTGGGGCTCCCACTATACAAATACTACCTTCTTCTTAGTAGCTGAGTAGTGAACCTTTAACCTTTTGGGATATATGTATATATATATATATAACCCTACAGTAATTGAAATGTTAACTTTTTTTTGGCCCAGGGTACTCAGCAACTAGGTCTTTGTGTCCCAATTCTGGAACCTGTGACCAGTCGTCCTCGAAACCCTCAACCCTCAAATGCCCTGGGGCCAGTTGGAGGCCCTGCCTTCACCCTCTGATGGGTTTAGGGTTTAGGGTTTAGGGTTTAGGGTTTAGGGTTTAGGGTTTAGGGTTTAGGGTTTAGGGTTCAGGGTTCAGGGTTCAGGGTTCAGGGTTCAGGGTTCAGGGTTCAGGGTTCAGGGTTCAGGGTTCAGGGTTCAGGGTTCAGGGTTCAGGGTTTAGGGTTTAGCTTTTCGGAATCCCCTTGAAAAGACGGAAGCAGAAGCTCCTCCCTGAAGCTGTTCTGCCCCTCCTTAGAAGCCGGATACCCAGCAAACCCGAGAAGTCGACCCCGCGAAGCACCAAACCGTACTTCCCGGGTTTAGGGTTTAGGGTTTAGGGTTTAGGGTTTAGGGTTTAGGGTTTAGGGTTTAGGAGTTCGGGCCTCTAAGCCCGGAAACCTAAACCGGCTAGGCAAGCTCCACACAAGAGTCACAGACCTATGTTCCTGACCTCAAGGCCCCCAGACATCTCTCTAGCCTTAGGGCTGCCGCTGAGGCGGAGGTGGTATCACCCGGAACCCTAAACCCAAACTCCTAAGCTGGACCGGCACCCAAGGCTTCACGTATCCCACCTATCCGGGTACCTACCCTGGCTCCTTGGCTGCAATCCAGGGCTGAAGGTGTAGACGGGGGGGGGGGGGGGGGGGGGGGCGGGGGGGTTTTGGGGTTTAGGGTTGAGGGTGAGGGTGCTGCGTTGGCCCCTTTCTTTTCAGAAGCACTGCGAAACTTGAAGGAATGTACTTTTTCAAGGAAAGGCCCAGAACATGCATGTCAACTCCCTGTGAAATGCAGCTCTGTGAGGCACGAGCTTATTGCTTTCCTGAAAGTTCTGAGTACGAAACTAGAGTTAGAGTAAAGCCGTCTCAAACAAGAGAATGTGGCAAGAAAATCTACTGGGTAGCCTTCACATGAGCCTTCGATTGACGAGGGATCCCAACCCCCCTAAGTCCCCATGATGAACCACTAAGCAAAGGACCCCCAGAACGCCTACAACCCGACAAACCCCCTTGAAGCTTCCTGCACAGCGCCCCAGAAGTATCCTAAGCCCTAAAAACCAGAGCCCCCGAAAACCCGTGGATCCCTCGGCACCCTCAATAAAGCGGCGGTCCCACATGCTTAGGCAAGTTTGGGGTTTGTCTTAAGGCAGCCCCTTACGTGCGCATGTATATATGTACATGTACATATTTATGTATTTATATCCGAAGCTTCAGTCTTTAACCCCCAAGTCTGCAAACTTACTGACTCTGCTTGATGACTTTGGCAGCCGCGCTTGGTTGCAGGGTGCTAGTCTCCCTATCTCCGTTCCCCATCTAGCATCTCCCCAAAACGGACAAACTTTGTGATTTGCAGAAAAAAGGCTGGTTCTGTCTTAAGAGCCTCGAGCTTCTGCAGAGGGAGCGAAAGGCTGACAGAACAGTTGAAGGGTCCTACAGCATCTCAGCCAGTTTCCGTGAGCATCAGAGGTTTGCCCACGGTCGGCTCCTTCGTGGTGTGTGAGACCCAGCCATTCAGGGCCCTGGGCTGATAGGAGCCCCCTAAACCCTAGACCCCAAACCCCAAACCCTGAACCCTGAACCCTAAACCCTAAACCCCAAACCCCACACCCTAAACCCTAAACCCTAAACCCTAAGCCCATCATGGTCGGGTTCAGGTTCGGCAACCAGGGTCCTGTGCAGGCAATGATGTGGTAAGTTCCCGACTTGTTTGCTGCTCTTTCCTAGCTAGGCCCTTGGGAGATTTTATATGTTCCCTTATTGGGTTTAAGAGGACCATATTTAGGAAAACCCGAAAATAGTAAAAAAAAATACGAAAAACGGGATATTTTATATTTTCCCTTATTGGGTTTAACAGGACCATATTTAGGAAAACCCGAAAATAGTAAAAAAAAAATACGAAAAATGGGATATTTTATATTTTCCCTTATTGGGTTTAAGAGGACCATATTTAGGAATAGTTTTCAGAGGGTTTGAAGGGCCATCCTAGTTTCTGGACTTGGTAGCCCAATGGTGCCCTTTACCCTTTTTTGCTGTTATGGGGTTCCCTTTTCAAGTAGCCCAACCCAAAAAAGGGTGCCCCTTTGTTATGAATATGGCTACTGGGCTGCCAATGAGTAGAAGACGACGAAGCCTTAAACTGAGGGTGCTCCGGACGACCATAACTTGGGAGAAGTGGGCAGTCCCAGCGCGACATGGTCGAGCACGTCCGGGTTCGACCCTGCATTTCTTGCTCTAAGAACCCATCAACCCAAACCCTGCAAACCCGTGAAACCCTCAAATTCCCCAAGTCCGAAGGATCCGAACAGCCACAGAATCCCTAAACCCCAAAATCTCTTGCCGACGAACGCCACGAGAAACCCCTGGGTCTAAACCCCCTGGACTTCCTCTCGGCTCCCATGCGAGGAACACACCCGGACCTGGGCCCGTGGGCCTTGCCAAGCTAAGCACCGGCTCCCAGAACCGTCAGGGAATTTGGGCTGGCTTAGGGCTTCGGGTCCTTTTTTCTTAATGTCAGGGAAGTTAGGCTTAGGGCTTAGGGTCCTTTTTTTAATGGTATAGGGGGACTAGGGTTTTTTGTAGGGGCGTTTTTCAAAGCGTCTTTGTGGGGCCGGGGGGGGGTTGAGGGTGTGATGCGGTAAGGCCTTCTGGGTTTGCGTGCAGAAGCTTGCAGGTGCTCAGGCCAGGAGGTCCTCAGCGTGTGGAGCCATTTTTTGTGGGTTTTTTTGTGGGGGAGGGGGGGGGAGGGAGGGAGGACATGTAAATGTAGACAGCTGGCAGAACAGTGTTTCAGAAGAAGGGATCAGTTGTCAAATTTGTCCCAGGCTCTCCAAACCCCCCTCCTCTGAAAACCAAGTCGCCCACACGCTTCCCCCCAGTGAATGCAAAACAGGCCCCTTCTCGCACATTGTCGCATGCTTTAGGGGTTAGGGTTTAGGGTTTAGGGTTTAAGGCTTAGGGTTTAGGGATTCTACGGGGAGGGGAGTACGGTTGGAGAACTCAGCACTCTGCGAAGAGGTTGTGGTAAGCAATCTTTCTACTGCCCATTGTGACTCTGGAGTTGCTCTAATCAACTCTGAAGGGCTCAACAACAACTAGGCTCTATTTAGGGTTTAGGGATTTTAGGGTTTAGGGTTTGGGGGCTTACAAAGGGTGAGGACCTGTTTTCTTGGGGATTGAAAGGCACCAGCAACCCCCAAGAATCCACAAGATGGGACTGGAGGTGCCCCAAGACCGTTTAAGTTCTACGTGGAGCCGCCCGAGAAGAGGCCCATGGGAATTCATCTGTGGGCAAAATGTGCTTCGCCAATCTTGCTGACATGGGGTGGGGCAAGGGCAAAAGCCCGCCGCAAAGATCCACAATTGTTTGTGTTTGGCTAATGTTGACGCCTAAACAAAGGAACCCCAGCGGGCCCTCATTCCCTTCTCTTGGGGCGTAGGTTCGTTGATATGCCCCATTCAGCCCAATAGGTATCGTCATTCTGCCTGTTTACTCCGGATAGAGCTGGCTTACACCATTCATTTCTCACAAAAGAAGCCTCGCTGTAGTACCCACCACCCTGAACGGGAACTTCAGGGAAGGCGAATGAGTCCTAACAAAACTGGAGTTCTCTAAGAGCTCGAGGAGTGCAGGTTCGTCCTTGTTTTGAGGTTGCCAAGCCTGTGGATGACAAAACACAGCTGAACGCGCGTGGGTGCACTGTGTATGTGTATACATACATACATACATACATACATACATATGTATATATATATATACACAGACATTACGTCTTCAAGAGTGCATAGTTATGTTTTACATACATAGACATCGTTGTTTCCATGTGCTCTAGGCACAGCACAGCCCTTCCACCTTGTCACTTAAGCCGCGAGATGCTCCGCACTGAAACCTTCTCTTCAGAGATCATCCTTCAAAACCCCTAAACCCTAAACCCTAAACCCGGAGCCCCAAGAACTTGTTTCAACCAAAGCCTGACGAGGCCTGCCAATCTCTCAAGTCCTCAGAAAGCGCAACGTAACAAACCACGGAAGAGTTCGGGGGCCGCAGGGCGCAGCCTGCTGAAGGTCCACGGGATTAGCCTTGGGATTTGGGTTTTTTGGGGATGGGGGGGGGGGAGCAGTTGGGGTTTTGGACTTTGGGGCGGGGTTCGTTAGCTTCCTGGCTTCTTGGCCTTCCGTCGGGTTGATTGAACCTGTCACAAAACCTAAAGCCCTCAAACCCTTTTGGAGGGGCAGGGTTTTGGGTGTTTGTCGCTGTTGAGGGTTGTAAGTTTCCGTGCTCGGCAGTTTCCCAGGATTCTAGTATGGAAATACCCAAACGTCAGGGATCAGCTTGTTGGGGAGTTTATGTTCTGGGGTGCTTTGTAGCATGATCCTTTTAGCAATCACTTGCAAGTCGAGGGGCGGACCTGAGTCTAAACCCTGAGCGCTCGCAGATATTGAAATCTCACACCGCGCCCAAAAATCCCGTACCACCCGGCTCGCCCTGGAAACCCCACGGCCGTTCAGAAGGGGTCAAGGTGCCAAACAGCTGAACCCTAACTCGCCAGCGCGCATGCGCGGCAGGAAGCCACCCAGCGTCGCATGCTCAGGAATTCAGGGGCCCGGGCTTTCCCTGCACAAGCCGAACAGCCAAGACCATGAACCAAGAGCCCTGAGAGGATTTTGGGCTTAGGGCGCCTTGGTGTTTAGGTCACGGTTCTTGGGCTTGGGATGGTACGTCTGGCCCGCGCTGGCGCTTGTTGCGATCTTTCGGTCCATGATCCCCAACAACCTCAGGGATCGAGGCTCCGGTTGGGTTTGGGATGTAGCACTTTGCTTCCTTGTTACATGTTCTCTCTTTCCCTTCTCTCTCTCTCTCTCTCTCTCTCTCTCTCTCTGCTTTGTCTTTCAGCTGAAACGTTGGTTGATCCCGCAGCTTCTTGGCTGCTGTCTCTATATCATCGCATGGCCGCCCGCCGCATATGGCCGTCCGAGGCCGGGTCAGAGGGCGGATTTTAAGGGCGTTGAAGGATTTGAAAAAAAGGCTTGTTTGAAGCGTGCTTAAGGGCTTCTTCTAGGAAGGTGCCCTGACGTCGCTGGAGCTTTGGAACCAGCATGCCATGAATCGGGCTCGGGCTCAGGCTCAGGGTTGTTGATTTAAATTTGGAAGGCAAAAAGCCCTGAACCCTACACCCTAAGCACCAAACCACAAAGCGCAGATCACACACACAAGTCTCTTCTATGGCGTTTTTTTTGATTTGGGGGAGCCAGTGCTCCCAATGTCTCCCCCTAAACCCTAAACCCTAAACCCTAAATCAGCCCTTCCCTTTGCATGGGGCTCTGCGATCCTGAAGCGACCCCGACCCCTGCAACCTCGGCACCCAGAAGCTCAAGAAGCCAGAACTCCGCTTTAGGGTTTAGGGTTTAGGGTTTAGGGTTTTAGGGTTTGGTTTCTGCACAAGATCCCCTCATGGCCCCCTGTCGGGAGGTTAGAGGAACTAGAAGCCCTTTGCCGGAAGGTGCGGCGTACCTCCACATCATCCTCGAAGCAGCTGGGCTTGTCGAAGTTTACAGAGCGTGGAGATTTGGAAACCCGAAAGCCCTTGAAACCCGGAAACTTGTCAGCTTACTACTATGCCAGCTTGAACCCTGAAGGAAGGAATAGCGTCACATGCTCGTTTTTGGGGGGGCCTTGCCTCTAAGGACCTATACTCTGTCAAATAATGCCTCTTGAACCACCAGAACCCAAACCCAAAACCTCCTTCAGCCTCCGGTAAAACCCTTCATTCAAGATATCCATGTCAAGTCGCCAAAAAGAGCCCCACCCAAACCCTCAACTTCGAACAACGCCAAAACCCTACACCCCTTCCAGCACGTTTCAAGACCCACATTCTGGAAGAATCGTTCGCCTGAGTCTTGCTGCCTTCTTATGAAGGCAACATTCTGTTATGCCTGTTGTCCTGCTGTCCTGAGCACGTCGTGTCACATGACGCGTACGACTTTGTCCTTAACAGCTGGCAACCCACTTGTCTGGCGGGAAAGAAGTCTAAACCCTGAAGCCCCCACAAAAGCCCCTACAGTACGCCAAAATAACTGCCCCGTCACACTAAACCCGAAAGCTCCCCCAACCCGTCTCCCCAATCCAAAAGAAGCTCCCCCAAACCCGTCCCCCTAATCCCAACAAAAGCTCCCCAAACTCGGCCTCTAGGCTTGCCGAACCTCGCTGGCCCTCGCATCTCTGAGCGCTGCCTCGGGAGGTCGGACGTGTTTTTGGGGCTGAGGCTTTTGGGGTTAAGGGGGAGGTTTAGGGTTTAAAGGGCTTTAAGGTTTAGGGTTTAGGGTGTCTTAAGGATTAGGATCGCTGCTCCTGGAAGCTTGCCAGCCTGGAGTTGGGATTTGTGGTCCAGCAGCAAGCCCAACATTCGTGAATTGGGGAAGGAACCTTCATGTATGAGAACGCGGTGTAGTTTATGGGTACTGGGGATATACCTTGGACGGCGTAGGTCTAGTCGTTAAGGGTATGAAGCTTTTTGTGGCACGTGATGGAGGATGCTCGGATTAGGGCACGTGCGGGAAAAATTTTAGGGGAGGTCTGCGTGAGGGCTTTGGGAGGTTCTGGGGCAGCTTCTTCTGGTTTTGTTGTGTGGGTTGTTGGGTCTCGGTTTTGTTTGTTATTTTTGTGTGGGGGGGGGGGGGGGGGGACGGGGCTTCGGGAGATTCGGGGTTTCCTGTGGATATTTTGCAACGTGGGGTTTAGGATGTACATGTTTGGGCACTTTGCGATTCAGGGTCCCGGGCGGGGAGGTGTTAAGCAGCGGTTTGAGGCAGCAGAGATGCCTGGGGGTCGTGCCGCAGCTTGCCTAGATGTCACCGCCGCAACTGTTCAGTTTCTCCCATCCACTAAGACCCAGAGCAGGCCCTTATTGTTCAGGTTCCCTTATTACCCTAAGCCCTAAACCCTAAACCCTTTAAACCCAAAAAGGGCACCCTTTTTATATTCCTAAAGTTACTCCTGGGTCGAGTCTCTGAGTGGAGTTCCCGCAGAAACCCGCAAGAGCCTCTGACTCCGGGGCCGAAGCAACGGAGACGAAGCAGGCAAAAGCTTAGGGTTTAGGGTTCCGGGTTTAGGGTTGCAAAAGCCCGCGCTGCAAGAAGGGCCGATAGCCCGCCAAAAGGCACGCCCCTGCATTCTTGGCAAAGTCCGTTCGGGGGTACGGTTTTCTACCATTTGCTTCAGAACCCCTGAAAACCCTGAAAACCTTACCCCCTAGACGCTTAACCCCTAAACCCTAAAGCCGCAGAACCCGAACCGTACAGAACCGTTGATTTCCCCCCCCCCTTTTGCGGATAGGTTCTCGCGCCGCATCTCGGCGTGCAGGGCGAGACGGGTGAGCAGTCGGTTCGGGTTCAGGGTTTTCAGGCATTTTCAGGGTCTTAGGATTTTCTGGGTTCTTCGGCTTTAGGGTTTTCAGGGTTTTTTTCAGGATTATTCAGGGTTTTCAGGGCTTTCAGGGTTCCAAGGGGGTTTGGGCTTGAGTGTTTTAGGGCCTAGGGTGCCGCACCCCTCAATCCTAAAGCCACGCAAAAGATTCCAGTACTAAGCTCGTGCAACAAAAGCAATGAAAAAGTCAGCCGGCTCACGACCCCTCCGAACAGGGAATACCCCAAGATTATAGTCCACTGGTTTGCAAACGTGCGTTGTTTTCGAGCTGCAGATCGGCCTCTGACGAGGCACTTTCTTCCAAGATCTGAAAACCCAACCCTAAGCCTGAAAATGGCCCATGCAAAGATGGCTTGTGCCAGAGGCACTGTCTGTGGATGACGCCGGGAATGTGCAAAGTGAGGCGGCTTTCCTTCCGGGACACGGAGTGGTGGGTCGGGGAAAGCAGGATGCTGGTGTTTTTTACTTGAGGAGCTCATGGCTTTTCCGGGCCTGCGAACTATCTTGCTAAACCTATCGGGCTGTACTGGGAGGCTTCCCTCCACTACAGGGAGCCAAAATCGTCATTCAGTTTAGGCTTAAACCTGGTTGTCCGAAACCATTATGCTACCTGGTCTGACCCTAAACCCTGAACCCTAAACTCTAAACCCTAAACCCTGAACCCTGAACCCTGAACCCTAAACCCTAAACCCTAAACCCTAAACCCTAAACCCTAAACCCTAAACCCTAAACCCTAAACCCTAAACCCTAAACCCTAAACCCTAAACCCTAAACCTCTCTTACCTATATATATTTAAACCCTATAGTCAGAAAATTGACCGGCCCTGTTGGGCACGCAAGGGTCCGGCCTTATCTTGGCCCCCGCGCGCGCCGCGCGGGCGGCCTTGGCCTTGGTTTTGGCCCTTCCAGATTGACCGGCCCTGTTGGGCACTCAAGGGTCTGGCCTTGTCCTGGCCCGCGCGCGGGCGGCCTTGGCCTTGGTTTTGGCCCTTCCAGATTGACCGGCCCTGTTGGGCACTCAAGGGTCTGGCCTTGTCCTGGCCCGCGCGCGGGCGGCCTTGGCCTTGGTTTTGGCCCTTCCAGATTGACCGGCCCTGTTGGGCACTCAAGGGTCTGGCCTTGTCCTGGCCCGCGCGCGGGCGGCCTTGGCCTTGGTTTTGGCCCTTCCAGATTGACCGGCCCTGTTGGGCACTCAAGGGTCTGGCCTTGTCCTGGCCCGCGCGCGGGCGGCCTTGGCCTTGGTTTTGGCCCTTCCAGATTGACCGGCCCTGTTGGGCACTCAAGGGTCTGGCCTTGTCCTGGCCCGCGCGCGGGCGGCCTTGGCCTTGGTTTTGGCCCTTCCAGATTGACCGCCTGTTGGGCACTCAAGGGTCTGGCCTTGGCCTTGGTTTTGGCCCTTCCAGATTGACCGGCCCTGTTGGGCACTCAAGGGTCTGGCCTTGTCCTGGCCCGCGGCCTTGGCCTTGGTTTTGGCCCTTCCAATTGACCGGCCCTGTTGGGCACTCAAGGGTCTGGCCTTGTCCTGGCCCGCGCGGGGCGGCCTTGGCCTTTTTTGGCCCTTCCAGATTGACCGCCCCTGTTGGGCACTCAAGGGTCTGGCCTTGTCCTGGCCCGCGCGCGGCCGGCCTTGGCCTTGGTTTTGGCCCTTCCAGATTGACCGGCCCTGTTGGGCACTCAAGGGTCTGGCCTTGTCCTGGCCCGCGCGCGGGCGGCCTTGGCCTTGGTTTTGGCCCTTCCAGATTGACCGGCCCTGTTGGGCACTCAAGGGTCTGGCCCGCGCGCGGGAAACTCTGACCCCCCCTTGAGAGGGAAAGTTTACTCCCAAAAACACCCCAAATGAGGGTGACCCCAGGATCGGCCCGGGTCCCTGTTAAAAATGCGATTTTTTAGTACTGAAATCGACGGTTCTGGGGGCCTCTCGTTTTTCTGGATTTTGACCAAAACCGAGCCTTCACCCGTTTGAGGATTTCAAGCCCCACCCCTCTATGGGGGTCGATGAAATGGTTCGTGGGTAGGATGGTCCATGACACAGTGAGGTTGGAGGACAGGGCTTGCTGATGAGAAATGTAAACTTTTTATTTTCTTAATGTTTTGGGATTCTCTGGGTGGGTGGGTTTTTTTCCGTTGCCTACACACACTGCTGGCCTAGTAAATGC